GCGGGAAACCCTGGGGAAAGGAACCCCCCGGGAAGCTCTGGAGCACCAGTGCGCTCAAGCATTGAACAGCGCATAAAAGTCAAATGCAGTTAATATGAATAATTGGCAAGCTATGCTCGTTACAGCCAGAGCACAGCAGCATTAGCTCTCCTACTGCTCTCAGATATTCATAGTCGCTTTGTAATACTCTGATGTTGCTCATGCATTTGCATCAGAACCTCGCCCGGTGATGCTCAGCGAAGGGAGGCCGCAGACACAGCCCTGCACAGAGCAGAGCAGGTCAATTTGCTGCCTCTCGCTTGCTGCCCTCCGACAGTGACAGACGTGGGGTCTGGGCTGCCGCACGGGGGGCACGTCCAGGGCACAGCACAGCAGCGCAGACACGCAGGGGTCGGGAGAGCCCCCCTGTGCAAGGGGGGACATGGACACAACCACACATACTGTCTCCTTGTGCTCCAGGAGGTGGCTGCTGGCTCATACACAGCAATGAAAAACACCTTCTGGCCTAAAATAGGCAACATGAATGCAGAAGAGACATGAGGAACATCAGTAAGAGGTACAATGCGGTGTTTTAATCAGCAGCACATGTGCCACTTCAGTTAGAACAGTAATAAGACAGAGAGGGAAAGAAAAAGAAAAAAAAAAGACGAAAACGAATTCTGCTTTGCCTTGCAACACCTACTCCAAAAACCGTGCCCCAAGTCATCATAACAATTACAAAGCAAAATGTTTTTCAGACCCAAGCATTTAAAGCCATTTACTCAGTTAAGCCAACTTTAACATACACAGCTTTTAGCAGCAAACAGAGGTAAAGTACTGGCTGTACCAAATATTCTTCGAGGCTACTTTAAAACGGCAATGTTTGCCTGACTGGTTGGATTTTATTCCGTTTAGTTCCAACGATGCATTTCAGACGGGGCTGAGCGCGGCGGTAGAAGACAAGAACAGAGCAGCTAGGTGGCATCCCAGCTCACCAAACCCGGCCAGGAGATGAGGAAGCAGCACCAGCAGAGGCCCTGCTGCTGCCGTGGAGAGCATAGCACCATAGAGATGGATCGAGATGTTTGGTATCAAGCAGACGGAGACCCTCTTGCTCCAGATGGATGATCAGTAGCTTTGGGGGGGGCGAGGTGGGTGACTGGTTTAACCCCCTACCAACCACAGCTCCCCTTCCACTTACACCTGCTGCTAGTCAAGTTCCAGGAGGACTACAGACAGACAGACACTGCACCTGAGCCAAAACGTCCGGATTTAGCCCTCTCTCATGTAGGTACGTCTGATGCCTGTTGTTTGGTGCATGGCTGTTCACACTAGACAAGTCCTTGAGCTTGTTTTTAAACCAGCACAGGACAAACCCACACCAGACACACTCCCATCCACACCACGGTCCTCAGGCTGGCTCAGTACCCCCCTTTCCTCACATAGTGGCTGCCTTATGTTTGTCCAGCAAATGCTGTCTCTGAGCAGGGCTTCTTGTTGGTCCCCAGTACTGCACGGAGGCAGCAGACAGGTGAAGGCTGCAGACAAGGGGAGAGAACACTGATAACTCCATCCAGCAGCAAATTTAAACAAAATTGGGGAATCCAAGAAGCACCCGGAAGCTGAGCAGTTTGAAATGCAGCCATGGGGACTCCAAAGCAAACACCAAACCCAAACCCATCAGGCTGTCCTGAAGACTGGCTTAAGAAAAGGCTCAGCAGGATTTTAAAGCACTTCATTGTAACTTTTCCACTGAGTGCAACACTTCCCCCTGCAGATGAGTCCCCAGAGAGCTCTGCGATTCCACAGGTGCACATAAAGAAATACATCTACTCCTGCTAGGCCCTTGCATGGCCACAAGTAGACAGCTCATTGGGAGGCAGCTACAGACTTGGTAGAAGCTGAAGGCCTGGAAAACCTTCTGAAGGTCCAATGAGCAGGAGACTGACCACATCTTTGTGCAGATGTAAGAGAGTGAAATAAATCACTTTCAAAAGCATTTACACTGAAATGCAGGCCATGTCTCTGGCATTTAAAGGGAGTGCCCTATTCTGCTTTAGCTGTAATCCGTTCCTAATTAACTTAAGACAAATTTATCTTTAGCCAGATTTACATATGTTAAGAGGGATCTACGCAGCCTTTTGCTCCAGAATTGTCATACTGGGTTTACAGAAACATCCACTACTTTAAATGGGTAGAACAGTTTCCAGAAGCCAAGTGAATGAATACCTTGGCTTGGTCTTCGTTCCTCCAAGGAGTAGAAAGCTTTAAGATACACCTCAACTCACAGCAGTGACGGAAAGATCAAGGATTACAAAACCAGAATTGCTAACAAGGACATGCCCCAGGCCGCTGCCTTATGGACAGTGATGTGAAGACAGGACCCTGGGAGGTACCAGCCATGTCGGTCACGTTGGGTCACTCTGAGCAAGAGCTGCCTCAGGAGTTGAGCACAGCATCAGCGTGGAAAACAGCATCCAGAGATTAAACGGCTGCCCCAGTTTCTCATAATTAAGATTAACAGCTTGATAGTCCCAGCCACCACCAGTGTTAGCAGCTCAGATTTGTTTCCAATAAGAGCATAGATCAAGTAGCTGAAAGAGGTTTGGGCAACAGCAATTGCCTTTAACAGCACTCTTGAAGTACAGATTCTAATAATTTGTGTCCTTCAGATCAATCTGTTATGTACACTGCAGCACTGCTGTTCACTTGGCATTTAAATTTGCAGCAAGAGATGTGCTCTCAAAAGACCTAGAGCTTCAGGCTGTTTTACACAGGAGCCCTGAGCATCCACCCAGTTCTGTACTGGGCTTTGACACTGCTTTACCTAACTCAAACTGGGGCTGAGGGGGAGGAAAAGGGGAGAAAAGGGATGAGGGCAAGAGGGACAGACAACTGATGACTACAAGTCTGTTAGAATATGGAGTATGGGAGTCTCAAGATGGAAGCACTAGTGAATCTATCTTCTGTCAAGACAGCAGAAATAACCACTGCAATTCTTTGTACTCACAGCAATAGATGTTTCCTAAGCACTCCTACACATCTAAAACTGCAGGACACCCACACTGGGAGGGGAGGGGAGCAAGGAGAACCATTCTTTGCTCTGGACAGTGTAGTTTGCATTCTCACCAGCATTGTCACACAAAGAATTATAAAGTAAGCTACAGCCACAAAGAGCACATATTAACAGATCTTACTGCACTGATTCATAGTAATGACTGCCACACTGACTTCCACAGTAGTGGAAGTTACCTTTCTTCCCACCCACATTTATATTCATATCAATTCTTTAATATAACACTAAACTCTCAGTGCCTGGAAATAAAACAAGTAGAGATCAAACTGCTAGGAACAACTGTGCACAGAATCACCCCTCTTCAATGCCCAGATTTGGAAGCAGCAGGTAATAATTAACAGGATTGAGGGAGTATTCCTCCCTCTTCCTCCATTTTCAACTAAATGCATTTTGAGACTCCTATAGACACTTTTGTGGAAGTATTCTTTACTGTCAAAGCTACATGGAGACAACTTCCAGGTTGTCATAGACAGGTTTCATGTAATGGTACAAAAAGTTCTTCAAGGGGCTTGGAACTAGATGATCTTTAAGGTCCCTTCCAATGCAAACCATTCTAAGGGCCTGAAACATCTAAGCACGTTAAATATTTTGTAACCAAGGTACCAACTGTGGTTTTAGTCTGCAGAACCCAGCTCAGACATCTGTGTCCAGCAGTTTCCAGTGAAGGAGAGTTACCAAGTTCCAACCCTTTCAGAAGTTGTGGTCTGTCAAGATCAAGGTTAGTCTAAACCTATGACTCAAAACCACCTTACCATGTTCTTCAGGAACAGTTTGTATTCAACACAGTTTACAACTAGGGAAGGCAAAACAGTCTTAGATTTGACTATCTGTAAGCTTTCATTTAGGAAAGAATTAAACAAGATCCAAATCACTTTAACATGATAAAGTGCCTATTGGATGTTCTCTGGGGAACTTTGCCCTCCCCAGTCCAGCAGTTACTCTTAGCATCCAAAGCAGAATTAATTGCACTTCTTGAAAGGTGTTGAAGTCTGGCATAATAGCATCAAGCTCTTAGAAAGTTGATGAACAATTGATTACCAAACCTAAAGAGGATGTAACAGGCTGCAAAGTGCTTCAGGTGGCTTGAATAGCATGAAGCATTTTGCAACCAATGATTGAGGTCTTAGAGTAAGCACTGACAATGCATGAATGAAGAACAGCAACAAGACTTAACAAACATGATTAGTATTATCCAACTGCTTTGTTATAAATATATTATATACATTCAAACATCACATTAAAATATTATTCCATTACACCAGAAGAGATTAAGGCTTTATATTATTTACAGAAACAAGCAAGCACCTTAAAAAAAAAAAAAAAGAACAAAACACCGGTCATTGACAATTTCCCTTCTAACATTACGATTTGATACCTTGAGCTCTTGAATACAGCTATTTGCAATGTGCCCAATACTAGAACTATTTTAAACATTTATTGTCAGGGTAGGGAACACTTAATAGAAGACTCATCAGCGAGCACTCCGCATGAAGAACCGCGAGCATGTGTCGTACTGGGTGCCCTCCCTCTTCTCAGAGGCTTGGTAAATTGAAGGCTTACGCAGAAACAGCTTGCTCAATTCCACGTAGAGAGTAGAACAACTTCATTTTAAAGGGAAACTGAAGACACTTGAGGATTCGTGGCCCACTGGTGGAGCAAGATTCTCAAAGTCTGTCCCACATTAGATCAATTCAATTCAATGTAATAGAGCTGTAGGTTCATTGATCACTAAGTGCATCGAACAGTGATTACTTTATAGGCTTCCATTATTCTGACTCACTGTTTTCATGCAGTGTATTTGGACTCAGACACAAAGTGACACACTGTTGTCACCATTCTCCCTATAGGTCTTAGGTAACAAGCTCTTTTTGAAGTGTTAAATAATGTTGATACAACACATGTTTACTACGCCACCATGTACCAATGGAGTGACTTGTCCTGCCTTCTGGCTTGCCCGGTAGCCTTTTGAGACACAGTGATGAAGTACTAAGATGTAAGCAGACATGGCCAAACGGAAAGGTGCTCAGTAAGAGTAATCATCTTCATTTCAAGTATTGTTTTAAGAATTAGTTCATTTCATTGCAGTCTGTTAGCACTTTTTAGTTTGTGCTTTAGAGTCTGTTATTTCTTTGCAGGTCTTGAATTTGGCTGATGGCTTTGTATTTAAAAAAACAAACAAACATTGGCAACAAATTAAGGATTGCAGAAGGCTGGCAAAGTTATTTAATTTTCTGAGCCCATTTCATGTCATCGGCTCTTGGCTTCTCCCCGGTAACTGCTTGGATAATGTTCTCCAAACACCTCCAGAATCTTATCTTCTCTAATGGATAGTTCAGCCAACCTAAATGATGGCAAAGGAAAAAGAGGATTAGTTTGTCATAGCATCCGAAGTTCAATGTCTTGCAATGTTTATTTAATAACATTCTTTAAATTAAACAAGGTAAATGTAAGGGGAGAGGACTACTCTATGGTCATTGCAAACCTATCAGAAAAGGAACCATCAAGTTGAATGAAGCAAGAGATTTTCCTACAACCAGGAAGAGATGGATGTACACACTTAGAGAACTGTTCTGTAAGCATGTGTTATACTTTACTCCATGTACATTTCTGTTAGCACAATGGAAACAGTGAGCAAGCAAAAGTTCATGTCAGAGGAAAGAGCTGAAATGCAGGACAGCACAAGCAAGACAGGAACACAGGAAAGCTGCCGCAGAGCCAGCTCTGTCAGCAGCAGGAAAAGAACTGTTCTTGCTGGCAAGGTCTTAGGCTATGTGTATAGCTATTATGGGACAGAAATAATAAAGGCAGAACATTCAGGACATTCACTGCTGAAGAATATCATATCTCTAGAGAGCCAGATCATTCCTAATCAGACACAGCTACAGCTCTAACAATCTACCAAAACAGGCATTGTTTTCAGCCACCTTCTGTAGTTGGACTTAACCTTTCCCACCTCACCTGTGATCCTGCACCTCTAACTTGCCATGTACCGATGCCCTTTATGAAGTCAGCTCATTCAATTCTCACTAAACCCAGCCATTAACCCTCAAAGAATGGATAACTCCTTCCTGGTGTCTAAAAACAGCAGTCAGCCCAAAAGCTTTAACATTGGGAATGCCAGAAAGCTCTGTTATCTGACCCCATCCCTGGCAATGATACAGTGCGGACCTTTATGTACACAGGTCAGCTCTGCCACCAAGTATACTGTTAGGACTTGGCTATTTACTCAAGTCAAGTCACTAACAAGTGCCTTACAATAACCAGTCAGTAAAGGCCCCTTTACATAGTGCATCGATTGCATATTTCTGTTGTTCTCCTCATTTCTACCCTAGAAGAAAGTGAATTAGGGCTGCAGAAACATTTCACTCCACTGGAAAATCCAAACGTACAATCTGCATGCTGTGTTACGTCAGACTAGCATGGTATGAACACTTACAGAAAGCATGGAGTGAACAGAAGCACATGCTTTTTGTTTTTTAAATGAGGGAAAAAAAGCAACTAGCCAAGACTGCTGATAAAGGTCAGGCTTAAACTTTCAGGACTGAAAAATGCTCTTAATGGGGCAAGATTTTTGCCATCTGTCAAGTCATGCTTCATAATTGTACCATCTTTTTACATGACATTCTGGTCATGAGAATTATGTTTGTTTCCTAGCAGAGATTTCAAAACCAACAGAAACTTTAACTGTGTGTTAAAGCCAGTGACAGAAGAACCCTAGTGGTTTATTTCCAGCTCTTCGATTAACTTGATAACTTACTCAGGATTGTGCAACACTGGTGACCAAGTCTACCTCTCCATACAATGGGCATAGAACTAAATATAGATATAAGAGGAACCTAAAGGCAGTTTTCTGCAAGCCAGTGCACTCCTCTGCCCCAAATCAGAATGAATGAGTGCTGGAAATCCAAAAGCCTTACTTTGGAAACGAGCATTCAAGGTAAGTTGCACTTGCAGATGATGAACAATTTTGAAGGAAGAGCAGCTTTAAGACTTCAATGAACAAAATCTATTACTAGGATGAGATTACCAGGATACCATGCAATTGGATTTCAGTACCATTAACTACCCTGTCAGGCTGAAAGTTACCTTTTAGTCAATCACAAATCTTCCCCCCACATTTTTATGCAACAAAAACCCTATAGTTTTGCTAAGAGCACACTTAACCATGTCATTTTGTAGGTATTTAATAGGCTGTCACTAAATTACATGTTGCCAGGTAAATTGCACTAGCCTACTAAAGAGAGGGTGCAGTATGAACCAGGTGGCAGTACCAGTTGTAATGCAGAAGTACGTTTCGTGTGGAGACACATGATGGATCCTGTGATGCTTCCGTGGCAGGATAATATGCCAGTCCTGTAGAAATATGACCCAACGTGGAAGACCAAAGTACGTGTGAGACCACTTGTGAATCTGGTTCGTCATGGTTATGAAGATGATGAGTGCAAAGACATAACACTCCCAAGGACATGTTTCATACAATGCCTCTGCAAAACAAAGATGTGTATCTTTACCATTTATGAAAAGGTGAATTTCTACCAGGAATGTGCTATCTTGCCCAGAGATGCCTGGTGCTGCAGGGACTAACAAAGGCCTCAGCAAAGCTGCTTTGGCAGAAGTATCATGAGAGCCAGTGAGCCATAAGCAATTCCAGAATGTCACAAGACTGGCTGGTAAGCACCAGTGTCTGACAACATACCATAAACAAGAAGTTAAACTCCGAGTTTACCACCTATAAAATGAAATTAATTCTTTATTTCTCCCAGTTCTCGTTTGCAAGTATTGCTACAGAGAGAGGAAGCATTTTTATGCATTTCAGAACAATGAATTCCTCTATAAACAGTTTGATCCCTCTGATAAAAATAATATTTACTGTAACTTCTAATGCTTCCTTGCAAGACTTCAGCCACAGACTGTCTGTTGAGCCAGAGAATCTACTTGCTCCACCTTCAAGGAAAAAGAAGGTTTCCTTCTCTCCTCCCAGAAGCATCATTCTTCCAGCAGCTGTTACTTGTCATTTTGCACTCATTGATTTCTCCAACTTCACACAGATTAATGCTCGTTTAAATATCAACACAAACACTAAATGCACATAGGTAAGAAGTAACAGCTTACCTGGGGAAAAAGAAACGAATTTGTACGCCATGTTTGCCAACGGGACTAGTGTCATAAAGCAGTTGTCTCCATTGGTCTCTATAAAATCATGTCTGGTAATTGCTGTGGGGTCAATATGATGTTCTCTAAAGGGTCTGATGAAAGCCTGAAAAACCAAATTGATAAACATGAAACCATGGCTCAGTAACGACCTTGGGAAGAAAACTATTAAAACCTCCCCAACCTCACACACATTCACATCTGATGACAGTTTGAGTTCACAGAACAGAGCATGTAAGCAGAATTCAAACTTTTGTGATGACAACACTTCAGGTAATTTGATTTACATTTGCAAAGGAATTCAGTTCCCAGACCCAAATCCAGCTTTTCATTGCTTTTCAGTTTTATTCTTCTTAGTTTTCACTTAAGACCTTTAGTCTCTAGACCTCAAACCCAAAGCGTTAGCACCCTAATTTCACAAACAAAATAAGCCCGTAGCATTCACAAATGTAAGTCACTTGCTGAGCAGCATAAACCCATAAAACACTGAACGAAAATAAATTCAGCCTTACAATTTATATGGGCTGAGACAACAACATTAACAGACTAAAGGCAAGTCAGATGACTAGAAAAGCCAACACGAGTCAAACAGACTACATAAAACCCTCCTCTAGAAGCAGAGCATGCATCTGAACACGCAGTCCCAGAGATGACAGAGCAAATGTGTCAGTAGGACTGGGACAGGAAAACAAGTACACTTATTTGCCTTTAACACACACATCATGTACAGTCTATGCAAAGGTGAACTCTTGTTTACTGAGTGCATAGTCTCCTGCAGTCTTTATTTTGTCTTTGAACTATGGTCCAGAGATAGAGACCCAAGGACTACTAAGTCTATTAAAGGTGAACAAGAATAAGCATAAAACCTAACAGTCTTAATTCCACTGTTCTAGTTCATGTATTTCTTGATAATTACAAGGAATATCCCATATACTTTTAATTAGATCCTTCTAATATCGCACTGTGAGGAGTAATTAATGGTAGCTCTGAAGAAGTTTATTTTTAAGAAAGATTATTGCTTACTCCAGGAGTCAGTGCACCCTCCACTAAGCACCTGGCATTTGTAGCTGCAGAGGTATAATACACCTCAAATCTAAACCTTCAGTCATCACCTTTCCAATGCTTCCTTTACAATAGGGGCCAGTAGCACAGAAACTGGAAAGATTTCTTACTGGAGTGACTTCCTGTTTTACAACACAGCTTTGAGAGGGTTTAGCTACAGGAAGTACCCTCCGTTTCTCCGTGTTTATCAGCCTTTTAGAAGATCTAGACTAGTCTAGCCAGGTTTCTATACTCACTGTATCACAGGCCATTCCCGCAGTACTTTGGGAAGGTCTGTGAACACTGGTATTGCAAAACTGTATGCAAACCTTAAACAACGTGATAAAGTGGGGCAGTGTCACCTTGCACATGTCACCTAGGCCAAGCGTAAACATGGCACTTCACCAGCAATACACCATGCCATTCAGTGGAGGAGGGTTCTGGAGGTGGGAGAGCTGGTTACATTGGCGAGACTTCAAGAAAGATATAGCTTACACACACTGTCCAACGCAGCTGGGAACACTGGAAGTGTTTCAGAAAAGTATTTCATAACTTTTCCAAGCATGAGGATAAGAATCTCAAACCTTTCCAACTATGGGTAGCTCCACAGATCCCCACGTATCTGCTCCCCAGTGAAATAATCCTGATAGAAAGTCAGCCGTAATAACTCCTGCAACTTGAACAAGGAGAGAGAGGGTTAGATGGACACAGCAGTTTTACGGACAAACTCGCATGTGATGTTTGTTTTATAAACTTACTTATTTAACTCTAACTTAGATATTTACCACCACAGGAAATCTACTCAATCTGACTAAACATAAGGTCAGACCAACTGGGAAAAGAGAAGGTCAACAAGACACCATTTGGACAGTTACCATGTTCATTAAATCTATAGCAAGATCTCGTGTTTAGCCTATCTTCTACAGAAGAGCTTGACAAATCTTTACAATTGCTGGTATGGAAAATACTAGTAACATAGAACTGAATCATTTAGGTCTGCCTACCCTCTTCTTCAGCAGTGCTTAACAGATTACCAGACTATTAAATAGCTGTTAAAGCTGTCCCAATGGATAATACTATCTGCAGACCCTTCCTTTTCTCCCTTGGTCCCTTCTGTCTGTAAACAAGCAGCACTGCACTCCAGTGGGTACAGATAAGCACTAATGAAGAAGCCACTCCCGGGTACAGGGATACTATTTACAAAACAAGACTGGAACATCAAACAGCTTCAAATCCATGGCACCTGCAATGCTGTAGGCAAGGCCCCAGAAACCACACTAGTGATTCTCTGTAAGGGACAGAGTGCACTTGTAGTATTTGCATACCAAGTCAAATACACCATTAAAGACAGCTTGTTGCAACAAGATTTTTCAAGCTGCCAACCGCAATAACTTTAAAATCATGGTCAAGTAAGGGTGATTTTCAGTTCATGCATGTAAAGCCCTAGTTTTGCCTTCATGTTCTGGCTAATCCCAACATTAAAAGTAAGGACATGAGATGGTATTTGATCAGAAGAGCTGCATATTTTCCAGTTAGTCATAGATGTGTCAGATGGTGTTTAACAGACACCTATCAGTCTTCACCTGCAGAAATCATCTGACTCCCAGGTACCCAGTCCTTTTGGTAATGAAGTCTCCAGCACAGTTTGAGTTATCCTGCTGCACGAGCTCTACTGCCAGGCTCTTTGTGCTTTGAAGGAAGAAAATTCAGAAAGACTGCTAACATAGCTCCCTTGGTTTTAACTGAGAAGCTGGAGGAATGTGGCTGACAGCACAGTGATATGGCTATAGCAACACAGCAATGAGCGAGATACTGCCTCAGGACCTCCGTGCTTGGGGGATTTCGGGCTGCCAGACCCTGCCCTTTAAAAAGAGACATCAAGAGGTACCAGTTCTAGCATCTTGCTCTGAGCAGATCTCATGGTAGATTAGCCAGGTCTGGATGGAGTCCAGATTTGCTGAAGGATGAAGCAGACTAAGACTCAGGATCCTTTCTCACTGCAGTGCCATCCCTTCAGGTAATAAAAACATCAGAAAGATCTTTGTTTGCTTTTCTCCGAGATGGACCATCTGGTGAACAGGAATACCTGGTGATCCTCTGCAGAGCCAGTGCAGGCTCTGACAGGGGAAGGCAGCACACACTTGTTACCTGCAGGTCTGGTTAATGGAATTCAGCAGAAGCACGACCTACATTTCATAATAGCTGCTGCGTACTGTGCAAATCCACCTGGGAACTGGGTGTCTGATCTCAGTGAAAATCCCTCAAAATCACACAAAGTTCATGCCAACTACAGCACGCTGCACTGATCTTGCAGTCCACTGTTAAATGGGTCACAACAACAGAAATACAAAGATTGTGTGCTCAAAACATAGCTTCAAAGCAGCTCGGTTAGCAATTCGCTACTCTCACTTCGTGCTCAGAGTGTAACGCAGTCACTTACTCTTGGCACTGGCAGTTCTCAAAGGAGCCTGCAAGTCCATGCAAACCGGAGGAGTAGTCACAGGGCCAGGTCAGAGTGGCTGGAACATAGCTCTTTAGTTTCCCCTCTGATATTTACCAAATTAGGGTTGCTTGGAGAACTCACCCACTGTAACAGAATCTTTGCTCCCAAAACAGCAGGGAGTTGCAAAATCAGAGGTGATTCAGGACATTTATTTTTTGCCCTGCCTGCTTCACAAATTCTTCTTCTGATGTCCATGAAGCCAGGAGGATTCCTGGCTTTCTGCTCCACTAGCCAGCACTTGTTTCCTCTATGTGTCTGAAGACTTTGTTCAAGCACAACTTCTCATCTATAGCACTGAGGCTTTTTATGATGGGCAGGTACCCCTCTTCCCGATAGGATGATAGGCAAGACAATTCCAACTCACTTGTAAACTAGCCCAAAAGTTAAAATTGCTGGTACACTGGTTCATCTTGCTTTGATGCCAAGGCACCTTGTTACTCCTCCCTCCCTCACAGAAACTTAAAAGCAGTCTGAGATATGTCAGAAAACAAAACCAACAAACATGCATCTTTCCCTGCAAATCACGTAACTTTTATTTACCCTGGTTGTGATCCAGACTGTGTCTAACTTTCCTACTCCAGGAACCTTAGGGCAGCTGCCTTGAGAGTCCAGCTTAATCCAGCTGAATGAAGTTCTTGTAACATCAGCAGGAGTGATAAAGAGCAGGTAATTTTCAAAACATAATAGAGGATGAGGTTGTTCTGTTACTACCGATGCAATGTTCTTCATCTTCAGTGCACAACCATTACCTACAGTGCATGCAGCACAGCATACTTCAGATGTAGACCTCCTCGTGGTTACCTTTTCCTTAGCTGATCCCTCACCTCTGCTGGCCTTCCCCTCACCTTTCATTTCCAAAAAGGGAGAAGAAATAAAAGTAGGATTAGTGTGGCACCTACCACCCCAAAAGGTTTTCTTTTCAAATGACAAATCAATCCCCATTGCTGAAGCCATTATCTAGTTGGCCCAAACTCTTAAATACAAGAGACACTCCATCCTTTATGTATCACTTTATTGTACTGAAGATAACTCCTTTTTAAGCAGTAACCTCTATACACCTTTTTGTTTCAGGGCACACATTTAAGCTACAGTGAGACAGCTTTTAGATCTGCACCTAGCAGCAGAAAGAGCAAACTGCCTTGATTCAGGGGGAAGATATCCAAACAACACTCCACTTTGCAACAACTAAAATACCATTCTTGCTGAGGTAATCACCCTATTAACCCGCATCGCCTCCAGCACACTGCATTATCAGAGCTTGAAATAACAGCAGGAAGATCAACAGAAATAGAGGCAAAATACTGACAGTTCCATAGATATTCTGTGTTACTCCAATGCCAGCTGGTAGAAAGCCAAGAGGAAAGAATGAAGGGTGCCTGAAGCAGTGCATTATACTAAAGCAGTATAGAGAAAACCTAACTACCAGAAATCTTTGTATTCAGCTGTACTGCAGAAGGGCTTGCTCACTATGCAGCAGTTGTGTGTGACAAGTTGCAATAAAAGAGAAAGGACTAAACCAAAGGTGATATATATATATACACATAACTAACATCATAACACTTTATTTGCATCCTGTCTCTGGACTCTGAAAGTACAGACAGCAATGAATTGAACTCAATATTCTCATATACCCAGCACTGTCTTTAGTTAAAATGGGAAAACCAAGGCAGAGGTGTCCAGCTACTTCTCTAAGGTGGGGTAAGATCTCGATGCTCTCTCATCAAGGTTGGGAGGGTGATATAATTCGTGTTCAAGGCTGTCAGTCTTAAGAGTTTATTACAGAGTCAGAAAAAGCAGGATATTCACAGTATAGAAATCTATGAACTGCAAACCATGGATTCACACACTCACGAGAAGCAAAATCAGTACAGCATTAGAGAAACACAGCTCTGTGCACTTTACTTTTACTCCAGCCTGCTGAGCGATGGGATGGAGAATCAACACATCCACGGGTTATAGCTGAAGAGGAGGTGAGCACTCAGAAGGCACTGGAGAAGGGGACGAAGGCACTGCAGTTCAGAAATGAGCTGCAGAACTTGCTCAAAACACCAGGCTTTGTTTTGAAAGTAGACTGCTGAATGAGGAGAGAAGAAAGGCCTTGAAGACAGGGAGACCAAAGGTGTACAAATGAACTTCAACGAGCAGTAGATGTTTTAGAGTGAACACACGACTGAGACACACCTTTACTAGAATGGCTGTTCTCTTCCAGCCACTTGTGACCCTCTGAACGGGTGAGCCTGCAGGGACAGCATCACCCTTGGGACACCACAGAGGAAGTGGGTGCCTCTGGTCTGAGTCAGGGGACATGCCAGAGCATGACTGTGGCACTCATACACCCAAGTCACCTGCCAGGCCATGGTCAGACAGCTGGAAGTGACACCAGCCTAAACATACAGTCAGCAAAGATGGCTTTGTTTCCACTTGTGTTCTGTTCAGAGACAGGTAACACGAAGGGGTTTGTGTCACAGAGAAGCCCCCACTCCTCCTCTTTCTCACTTAAGTACCAAAATGGGATTACAACCTGCAGCCGCAACAAAGGGCTTCTCTCATGAAGAAGTCACATACCGCTTCCTGCAACACGGCTGCTCCCCGGCGCGAGCAGAAGGAAGCCACAAAGTGGGACATTTGAACACCTCATGCCTCCAGATATAGAACTATTTTGCATGTTTTGCAGCAAAAAGTTGTACTTCACCAAAATTTTACAGAGCCAAGTGTAAGCCTGGCTTTGCATAGATATAATTCTCAAGTTGGAGCCCAGAAGCCTTGCAGTAGAGCATATGAAGTTTCATATTTACTGTAAGGACTCAGTTAAGAGTCTCTGGAGACAGGAAAAAGAAAACAGCATAAGATGTTATTTAATAACTTGACGCTATTGTGCAACATAGTTGAGAAGTACAGTCAACTTTAATCAGTGACTGTACAAACTAGTTGAACATTACAGCACTAAAGACCTCAAGGAGTGGCTAATTCCACAATAGAAAGATTTGTTTTCTAAACAAAATCAATACACTAAAGCAACATTTGTTTGCTACTTATATGCTTATAAAAAAAGAAATGCCTTAGTCATCTGCATTCCATATTTAGTGGCTTTCAGTACAGAAAAAGCAGGGGTTTGATATTATGGCAAGTTATGAGGCAAAGAAAATCCCATTTCAAGAAGTATAAAGTGTAGC